TATTCTACCTATTTATCTATTTATCTGTTAATGTCTTTTTAAAATAATTGACTAAACACACACGCACACACACACATGTGCACACACATAATATAACGAGGCATTTTCACAATCCATTCTATTTAGTACATTTGTGAAAGTTAAGTTCCAGGAGAAAAAAGGAAAAGAACATTTTAATTTATTGGTGTTTTTTAGGGGAGTAAAGGTGTCATGTGTATGAGGAAAAATCTAAGTTGTTGGGCATTCTTGGATCTTGTTAAGGGAAGTACTGCTTTCTTTAGGTGTTCTGGCTGTGCCAGGGTGAGCTCTAGACTTGCCAAATGCCGACTACTTGAGTACAGAATGCCCTCTTGTCTTCCGCACATGTAGGTCACAGGCTTCTCACTGTGGGTTGGCATCTATAATGGCCTTCCTCACCTCAGGCAGATCTTCATTCCACAGCAATCAACTTCCCATCTTTTAGAAAAAGAGTGGGCTCACCCTCCTTTATATGATCAAAGGTACTTTTGAAGGAATGGTGAGCCAATTGCAGAAGGCGGGGAGCAGAGTTCCAAAAGATTCAAAAAAGAAATCAGAAAAAGAGCCAAGTGGAGGGAAAAAGAACTGACCATTTTCCTGTCTCACATTTGATAAACATTTGTATTAAGGAATGGGGTGGATATTATACCTGTGAAAGATAGTAACAAAAGTCTTAGCAGAATTGAGTATGTAACTTCAAGTTGCATCAAAGACTGGGGGAAATCATAGATAAATGAATTTTAGCAATTAGGAGAGACATAAGAATGAAGATTAGTTCAGACTCACCCAAAAGCCAAATCATGTATGTCTTTTTTTATGAGGGATTTGTGAGTATCTTCTTAACCTCCATGTGAATATTGGCAGGGGTAACAAGAATAATCTGTGGAATCCTAAATTTAACTCATAAAATTGACACCTAATGCTTTAGATTAACTATACATGAAAGGCATCTTTAGAAGTAGAGTTTTACCCAGAATAATGCATAAGAGGATTTGCTAGTAACATAATTGCTCATATTTTAGCAATTTATCAATGAACTACCTGAAGGATGGACATACAAATATTCCGCAGAAATGCATTGGTTCATTAACTGGCCTTCAAATCCCAGGATATATGTATGGATAAATGAAGTGGAGCCCCTCCCCACTTATAGGTGGCTTAAAGAGCATTGTGGGTGAAATTGCTATCATTTGCCAGTATATCCAGTGTCTTCTGTTGGTAATATTAAATCTATCAGTTGAAGCTATTTATATTTCCAATTTATATATGCCATTCACCCTCTAGCTTTGTTACCTCAGTGCATGTTGATGGAAAGGAACAGGTGTGGTCATGCAACAAATTTCACTGTAATTGCAGACATGTGCTGGCTATGTATTATAGGGAAAGTTGCATTATTTACAAGTCTTTTTTATTCATTTCTGATGAGGGCTAATAATAACTATCTTACAGAGCATGGACATAAAAACCACAAAACACTATAAATGAGTAATTTATGACAGTAAATGAACATGGGGAAGTATCAAGAACAGAAGCTCTTAATATTACTCATTTATTCAACACATATTTTCATGTCCCATGCCCTGTGCTACCCCGTCCTCCTGAAAAGAGATGGATGTGTTGAGATAAACAGGACCTGCTCCTTGTGATAATACATAGAATACAAAGGAAGCCTTTTTTCCCTCCAAATTTCATCTTTTCTATATTTCTAACTGTGGTGGTAACAAAGTAAAACCTCATTTAGCAAATGATTCAGTAGTAAGAATGACTTCTGTCTGTATTCTTCATAGTTTTGGAATGCTTTCATATTTTCATCTGCTCATGGATTCGCCCCATTTCTTTCAGTTTCCATGGTTTCCTGTATTTACCTGTTTATGCAGTCACCTAGGATAGTTTTTTAGTAGCTCCCTCTTCTAGAGAGACGTGGCCATATGTCAGTACTGTATCTCTCCATATCTCAGTTTTAGCCAGCAGATCCCTGGGAGCATCCACTTACGGGGAATTGCTTTCAGTTGCCCATCATAAAATCTCTGTAATGCAGCTTTCACGGGGGCAAGATAACACTTTGTTTAGGGCACCCACCTGAAGTAGGCTCTTGAGGCAAATGGAGTCCATTGGAAACAAGGGCTTTCCATTTCAAGCATCAGGCCTGACACAAATACACACCATTCCTGTTCGACTGGCTCATTACCAAGTCTATGCACCTAAATGCCTCACGAGCCATTCTCTTCACTACAACAGTGTCTGATATTTATAAATAGTCACAATGTGCTAGAATCCCATCCAAACCTCAGAGCTTGCCTATTAGGTAAGTAAACATTAACTTCAATTTACTCATGTAGAATATTAGCCTCAAGGAGGATAAATCACTCATTCAATCTGCACAGCTAGATATTAGGTGTTACCACTATTAATATCTAGTTATGTCTAACATTTTTAACTATTATTTTAAAACTAGAGGCCCAGTGCACAAAATTCCTGCACTCCGGGTGGGGGGGGGTGCTTTCCTCAGCCCGGCCTGCACCCTCTTGCAGTCCAGGAGCCCTTGGGGGATGTCCGACTGATGGCTTAGGCAAGCCATCAGTCAGACATCCTTAGTGCTGCCACAGAAGCTAGAGAGGCTCCTGCCACCACCGCTGCATTCACCAACCCGTGAGCCTGGTTCCAGGCTTCTGGCTGAGCCTTGCTCCCCTGTGGGAGCACACTGACCACCAGGGGGGCAGCTCCTGTATTGAGAGTCTGCCCCCTGGTGGTCAGTGCGCATCATAGTGACTGGTTTTTCTGCTGTTTGGTCAATTTACTTATTAGCTTTTTACTATATAGGATATAGTTTTATTTATTTCAGAGAGGGAGAGAGAATCATTGGTTGGCTGCCTCCTGCATGCACCCTACTGGGGATCAAGCCTACAACCCGGGCATGTACCCTGAGCAGGAATGTCACCGTGACCTGGTTCATAGGTCGACACTCAACAACTGAGCCGCACAGCCAGGCACTATTATTTTAAGATTATAAAATATGCCAATGATACATCTAATAAGGAATTGATATCCAAAATGTATTGGGGTCTTACACAACTCAACAACAAAAAATCAAACAATCCAATTAAAAAATGTGCAGAAGACCTGAGGAGACACTTCTCCAAAGAGGACACACAGGAGACCAATAGGCATATGAAATGTTGTTTAACATCACTAATTGTCAGAAAAATGCAAATTAAAACCACGATGAAATATTTCACACCAGTGAGAATGGCTATCATCAATAAATCTACAAACAACGAGTGGAGCAAAGGGAACCCTCCTGCACTGTTGGTGGGAATGCAGACTGGGGCACACTGTGGAAAACAGTGTGAAGGGTCCTCAAAAAATTAAAACGGAACTCTGCCTTATGACCCAGCATTCCCACTTCTGGAAATATATCCAAGGAAATCCAAAACACTAATTTGAAATGTATGCACCTCTACTTTCATTGCAGCATTATTTACGAAAGTCAAGATTTGGAAACAACCCAAGTGCCCATCAATAGACAAGTGGATAAAAATGCTCTGGTATATACAAAAAAAAGTTTAAGGATTTAAGAAGTAGAAATTGGTTGTTACAAAATAGTCTGGGAGGATGTAAAGTATACTATAGGGAATATAGTCAATATAATTGTAATAACTACTAATGATTCCAGGTGGATACTGGAAACATCAAAGGGAAAACTTTTTATTGTGTATGATCTTTTAAAAAAGATTATAAAATGTTTCAGTTTTAGAAAACTTAAAAAGAAAAAAAAAACAATTATAACAAAGTGAAGGAAAGAATCACTTGAAATTGTATAGCACAGTCATGTCTCCTATTAAAATTTGGGTACATTTTCAAGTGTGTTTCTTCATTATTTACATGATTTTTAAAAACATATTATGTAACATCTATGTTCTTCTCAAAGTGGAAAGAGCTCATACCATCCATGATTGTGTTTGCTTATTTATTTGTTTTAGAAAAATGAAAGAGGAGAGAGAGAGAGAGAGAGAGAGAGAGAGAGAATCCCAGGAGATAGGCTCCAGAATGGTGCTGGGCCAATGGAAAAGGGAGTTCCCTCTGGCTTCTGTGGACACTCCAGCAGTTTCTTTTAGTGGCAGGTCTCCAGCATGTGTTTCTTATCTAACCTCTGACTTTACCTTTTAGATACTGGAT